CACCCCAGGCTGAAGGCGGCCGTGGTGCCCCCCCCGCAGTGTCCTCGTCCACCTGGGCTACGGGCGGGGGGAGCTCCTGGGGCGCTCCTGGTACCGGCTCCTGCACCCCGAGGACCTCGGCCACGTGGCCCGGCAGCACCTGCGCCTCGGTGGGTGTCCCCTCCCCTGTGTCCCCCCCCACCCTGGGGGCTCCACATCACCCCTGGGTTCCTTGGGGTCCCCACGTCCCTCCCCAACTGTGCCCTGGGGTCTCCATGTCTCCCCTGGTGTCTCCATGTCACCCCTGGGTTCCTTGGGGTCTCCATGTCCCCCCTGGGGTCTCCACATCACCCTTGGGTCCTCTGGGGTCCCCACGTCCCCCCCAACTGTCCTCTAGGGTCTCCATGTCCCCCCTGGGGTCTCCACATCACCCTTGGGTCCTCTGGGGTCCCCACGTCCCCCCCAACTGTCCTCTAGGGTCTCCATGTCCCCCCTGGGGTCTCCACATCACCCTTGGGTCCTCTGGGGTCCCCACGTCCCCCCCAACTGTCCTCTAGGGTCTCCATGTCCCCCCTGGGGTCTCCACATCACCCTTGGGTCCTCTGGGGTCCCCACGTCCCCCCCAACTGTCCTCTAGGGTCTCCATGTCCCCCCTGGGGTCTCCACATCACCCTTGGGTCCTCTGGGGTCCCCACGTCCCCCCCAACTGTCCTCTAGGGTCTCCATGTCCCCCCTGGGGTCTCCATTCACCCCTGGGTTCCTTGGGGTCTCCACGTCCCTGTGTCCCCTGGGGTCTCCATGTCACCTTGGGGTCTCCATGTCACCCTTGGGTCACCCGGGGTCACCACATCCCCCCCAACTGTCCCCCAGGGTCTCCGTGTCCCCCCTGGGGTCTCCATGTCACCTCTGGGTTCCTTGGGGTCTTCATGTCCCCCCTGGGGTCTCCATGTGCCCCAGTGCCCCCAATCCCCCCATCCCTGATGTCCCCACCCATCCCAGTTGTCCCCATTGATGTCCCCATTGATGTCCCCATGTCCCCAACGTCCCCAATCCCCCCATCCATGATGTTCCCACCCATCCCAGTTGTCCCCATTGATGTCCCCGTGTCCCCAACACCCCCCATCCCCCCATCCCTGATGTTCCCACCCATCCCAGT